TATTTTTATTCCAATAGTGCATAAGTATGAGCACACACTTATTTGACACTTCGTATAGTCAGTGTAGAAAGAAAAAAAGGGAAAGAAATTGCAAAATTTACGATCAGGATTCACTTTCACTTACATCAATTTCTTGGATAATGTCTTTTATTTTCCTTCCTCCGTCTTGCATTTTGATCACGTTTACCCTCTCTTCCAGCGTCAGAGCTCTTCTTTTCTTCGCTGTTTGACATCCAAAGGTCCGTTTTGTCGCCATTTTAGCAATGCAACGTTCATGCTGCGTCTGAATCTAACAATAACAGATACTTCCTGGTATCCCGGTGGCTTTTCTTTCCACTATCTCACTGTCTCTAACTCGACCTAGCCTCGATCTCCACCCAAGACAGCATTGCTCAGCTGATGAACTTTTAAAGCCAGCCACGGGAGTTTCGTAGTCCTCGGTGGCCGTAGTTAGCGCAATGGAACTCGCCTTCTCTCTAATTAGCGCTCCAGTTAGCATGATAACAAGTAAAGCATTCGAGGAAACGTTCGTTTGTTTGAATGTCCGTCGAGCCATAAGCAACTTACTCTGAGCAGCTAATCGGATGCATTCCACGGATCTAGCTAAAGCATCTACACACATAGACAGTGAGGTCCCTCTTGGCCAATCGGAGGCCAGGATGATGCTCGGTAAGCCAATGGCAGAGCAGCTATGAAGATGTTGCGTCCAGGAAACTCGCAGCTGTGACCGAAATAAACACCGTTCACTATGTAAACGAGTGTGGTGGTTGCTGTTGCCGTTTCCGAACGAAGCAGTAGAGGTCGCTGTTGGATTGTACTTCATTGTAGTGAATGTCTTCGCGAGGCAGGAGCAGAGAAAATGATTTCGTATAACGCAACAGGAGGTTTTTCGTCATATGGGGGGCAGGAATGGGAATGGTGTTAATGCATGAAGATTTTTTCACATTTGAGGGTATTTTTGCCCATGGAGTTTCACTGTACCACATTTACCACGAGCGGAAGCCCACATACCGTTGGTGGTGCTCGCACGTTGAAGATGCCTGTGTTGGGTTCCTTCACCGCTAGAGGGAGCCCAAGTACCGTTGGTGGTACTCGTACGTTGAAGATGCCCGTCACTTTACTGGCATAGATGGAAAAATAACGATCCATTTGTCATCAATAAATGATTTGCACACCAATCAAGTAAAATTGGATAATTTCCCACCTTAATTTGCTTTGGAACCCTTGTATGCATGTCCTTCTTCATGCCTGCTGCTCACATGTTCATTGAAACAGGTGAGGTTTGTTCTGCTGAGGCACAAGACGGAGCTGAGGTCCATCTATCGTTTCCACAGGCGATTCGGCCAACCTCAGATTCCCAGCGGTGCCTTCCTGCTGTCCCGCATGCAGCTGTGGCGCCTGCTCAACGACTGTTACGTCCACCATCACGGCGTCTCCTTGGCGGAGCTTGACCTTTTCATATGAGGTGAGATGTATTTGGCAACAGTCAAACAGCAAATGTGTCAGGGATTGGACGATGAACACCGAGTGTACAATTTTAATTGAATCAGCGCAGGAACCTTTATCACTGATCCGTGCGTCGCTGATTAACTCCTTTGGTGTCAGATAACCCAGACCCAGCGGAGGTTCACTCCCCTTTTACTCCCATCATGCTCAGTCAGTTCCTCAGCTGCCTCGTGATCATTGCCGACCACGATGACATGGAGTAAGCAAATCGAGCAGACGGAGCCATATTTTTTGCTCTGTTGTGGGAATTGTTTTTTCTTCCACAATTCTCATCCCCTTGCAAAGTTTTTACAAACAATGCTGCAAAGTTTTAAATGTACAATCTTTATGACATTGGGAAAAAAAGTTCTCTCTACCTCAAAACGTACCAGGAGTCATTTTCTGAAATGATGAGGACTACTTTTGTTGCAGGTCATCAAATCACCTTCTGGCTGCGTGTTTCACGATACTATTGGTCGATGATATATTTCCACATGCCAAGAATGTAAAGAGGTAGGAAGAAATCAAACATTGATGGAATATTCTGTTATTTTTCATCACAAACAGGAGCTAAACCATTTTGAGTTTCTTGAATAAAACTATTGTGAATCTTCACGCTTGTCTGTCCCTAAATTGAGATTGACCCGGTGCCCATTGCGGGGTGCCCCAAAGGTTTCCTTTGTAAGCCCCCAGAGTGCACAATTGTGGCTGTGGACTTCCTCGTCAAATGCTGGAAGGTATACCGGGCCAGCCGCAGGGTCAACACAGCACCCAGTGGCTGTATCAGGTAACGCTGTTCATGCCACAAGCACATCGGGCCCGTATTTTATAAAGCATTTGAATGCGCACGAAAGTAACATTACTTTTGTTCCACGCTAGGATCTCCATCTTTACGACAACGATTTGACCATCGTGAGGGTCATCGATATCATCTGCGCAGAAACCCTCTATCCCAGCAACTGGTCCGCCTGCATGAAACATGAGGTATACGCTTTGTCCAGTGGAATTGTTGACTTATACGGACTAAAACGTACAGATTTTCCTGATACTACAGATTACGTTCCTGGAATTCTCTGAGGTGCTTTTTGGCTGCGGCGAGGTGAAGTGTCAGCAGGTCAGAGGTTTTTACTTGTAAGAAACACTGACATGTCAAAATTATATTGAACTGTACAGCGTAAGAAGTCACAGTAAGAAGCCAGATGACATTTGCTCAACAGATGACAGGTCCTTATCCCAAGATAGGACCGTCTCGATCTTCTTCAGGTTTGTGTATTCACAATACACCTGAAATTTTCGCCAGCGAGTATGTAAAAGGTTCTCCCGTGCACCTTCTAAATGTTTTGACTTTCTCCAACACTAGCGCGTCAGTGGCAACATACGCTGGCCCAAGACCGTGAACTGGATGCTTGGAGTCATAAGATCCATCACTTCTTCAAACACATCTTCTTCCCTGCCGTTGACCTTCTCGGCTTATTCTGACCAGCTCAACGCGACAAAGGCTACTCTCACTCCAATTGAAAATGAGCAAACTGTCTCCACACTGCTCCAGTTCGGAAAATATTTTATAAAGTGTTTCATTATATCACAAAGACTCCTTTCTTTGGCGACAATTTTATTGAGGATAAATCAAACAAGGTACAATACTTTCAAAAATAAAACGGCAACTATTTTTCTCTTTTACAGAATGACAAAGAAATTTGATTCATATTTACAGTGGTGGCGTGAAGTACATGAGATCATTGGGGCAAACAGATTGCCGGTATCCTGTCCTTGGGGTTCGGCGTGAATAGAAACAAGGACGGCCTTTAAAATATGCAAAACAAACATGGGGTGAATATGAAGAAAACAATTTACTGTAGAGCAGGAGTGTCAAACTCATTTCACATTGTGGCGCCACATACGGCCTCGGTAGATGTCAAGTGGGCCGGACCATTAAAAATTATACCATACTCTGCTATAAATAACCAAAATATGTCTTTCCTTTGTTTTGGTCGAAAGAAGGACAAGACCACTAGGAAAATGTTGAAATTTAATGAACATTTCTTTTACAAAACATTTCATGAAGCACTTAAGATTTCCTTCGACAAATGTGCAATTTACTTTTATCATTCACATATATGCATTGCAACTGATCCCACTGACTGTACTAAGGCACAAAACTCTAACAAGTAATTGCACCTTTAAGATTAAACGAGATTTACAAAGAAAGGAATTTTTAAACCATTTACACGAGCATATAAAATCTAAATGTAATCCCTGCCTACACCTTACAAACTAAAGGAGAGTGCTATAATATGTGTAAAGAATAAAGTATTCACATGTCCTTGACAGCGTCTGCTGTGTTGGGTGTCTCGGTGACAGACTGAGGCTGCTGTTTTCTTCTCTGATCAAAACAATGTTGTCTTTTCCTCTGATCAAAACAGTGGGCCCCCCTAGCGGATATTCTATGAATTGCCCCTGATTAAAAATATTCATTCCGTGCCTTTTATG